AGTGGCATTTGGGCACCTTGCCGGCGTTGCTGTGAAAGACCCAGAGCTCCTCTTTTAAGGAGGTGCCTTTAGCTAAAAGGCATTTTTAAGGCAAAACTCCTTTGCAATGTTTGGCTTTTAATCCCTCTCTTTCCACCCCATGTTAATCTTGTAGTGCAGAGGCAGCTGCCTTTTAGGGGTGCTGTAAGTATATGGGCTCCAAGTCACTTGTACATCTAACTTGAGGTGACAGAGAAGGCTCCTGCTTTCAAGGCATAATTCTGCTTTTTGAAGGTGGTGGGCAGAGCTGGTTAAGCATTTTGGGCAATGGCAGAAATAGCTGCTGTTTAGCAGAATGAGCTCCGAGGTAACTGGCAGCGCTCACCACCTGGACTGTTTTCTTGACATTTATTTGCTTTTACTGGCACTTAAATGCCACCTGCCAGGAGAAAACTTTCCATAAAGAAAATAAAATTAAATTTGCCTGACTCAGCAGAAGCCGCCCCAGCTGGTACAAGCGGTGTGATGCTGCCCTTTGAGGCGTGATGGGTCTTCCCGTGTATCTACAGATACCTATGTGTGCGTGGCTGTATCGATAAAATACAGATGGCAGCATCCGTGATCGCTTAGGGCACAGCGTTCCAAAACTGGGTTTTACAGCTGTGTCCCTACTGAGAAGCAAACAAAGTCTGAACCCCCAGAACTATTGAATTTTGCTGGTCTGGCCCCTCCTTTACAACGAGCACTGGAGCTGCTGCTGCCCGGTCCTGGGCATGGTGAGCCCTGGGTGCTGCTGGCACAGGGGGGCTCGGGGGGAGCGACCAAGGGGTTCTGGGATGGTGTCTGCTCTTTGGGTGCCAAATGCATGGAAACAATGACCCCAGCACTACGTTTCTCTCCAGTACTTAATTTTCCTTAGCCTCAGAGAGGCGTGAGGAATTATTTCCTTAGGAAATTTTAGGAGCGGCTTCTTACTGCCTCCTGCCAAGCGTCTCTGGAGTTAACCGGATAGTCTGTTGTTTGCTTATTCTTGTTTGTCTGGAGGATTTTTGGCAGTTTTCCTTTATGCCAGTTCAAGCCACTCAAGCTGCCACCGTCAGCTGGCCGAGCCCTGAGGCGAGGGATGTCTGGAGCTCTGGGACGTGGCCCCTATGGGCAGACGCATCGCGCCCGTCTGGCGTCTGACCGAAAAGTGGGAGGTCTCCCCGCCTGTGCCAGTGTTGGGGAGAGGGGGGCTACCAGTGCCGGTGCCTGCTGTGCTGTGCCATGGGCTCCCCATGCCACTGCCCGACCCCCATGACAGAGGGGACATGGCGAGGGTTTGCTGAGGAGGACTCCAGTCCGGTCCTCCCTGGAGGAAGGAGTGGTGGTGATGGGAAGAGAATTGCAGAAATTTAGCTTGCATTTAGCAGAATTGTTGCATTAGGATGAACGACGCCGGTTTGTGGCTCCATGGCCCCGAGCAAGGCACGCTTGGCACTGAGATGCTGCTGGGTTTGTACCCGGCGGTGGGGGCATCCAGCACACTGCAGCTGGGAGGGCTTTGGGAAGTCCTGCCTGCACTGTAGCTTGGAAGCACTCTGCTTTGTAGATTGTCTTTAAAGATCCCTGCTAGAGACTCTTCTGTGGCACTGAAAGAGTGAATTAATGAGTTTTTTATTAAGTAGCTGGGCTCAAAGCGCGCAGAGCCTACGTAGGCATGTGTGAGAGCTTTACGGGGGAAGGATGCAGCGGTGTCATTGGTGTCCTGGCCCCATTAGTTCTTCTTTTGCTCAGTTACATGCTGCTTTTTCTGGTGGCTTAAAGTCTGTCTGTCTCTCTTGCAGCGGAGTTGGAGTTTGTACAGATAATCATAATCGTGGTGGTGATGATGGTGATGGTGGTGGGGATCACGGGGCTGGAAAAAAAAAAAAACCTCTCGGCGCGACCCTTCATCAGCCGGCACAGCCAGGGGAGGCGGAGAGACGAGAACCTCTCATCAGTAAGTCACACCCTGATCTTCCAACCCACCTCGTCCTGCGCTGTTTCCCAAATGATGTGACACTGGGGAAACATTAGAGCCAACGGCATTCGTTTGGCTTGTGTTTGCCCATGTGCCACTTGGCACTGCATAAAGAGATCTTCGCATCATCTTCTGTCTCTCAGTTATTGGGGGGGGCTTTTAGGGATGCTTCTGGCTCTTTAGGGTGCTGTATGTTGTAATACATGGTCAGCCATAGCCTCTGCTTTTGGAATTTGGATTTTACATCAGTAAAGTAACTGCACGAGGCTGTTCTTGGCATGTCCTCTTCCTGAAACCACCACGTACCCTCATCTGGTTGGGGTGCATATTGCCTTGCCTTTAACAGCCCCAAACGATTGAGTCCTTCGGTGGCTCCAGTTGGAGAGTCTCCAGTGACTATATAAAAACTTACTGCTTGCCTTGAAGAGAATAGGAAATCCTGACTTTCTCCAGTTTTCACCGGTGGTGCTGCCATTACTGTGGTGGAGGGGTCAGAAAACACTTGTCAGCCAGACAAGCAGAAATCTCTCCATGGGGATGCTCGAGAGGTTCCCTGGGTAACCCAGGCTCCCTGCTTCGTAAAAGCCCGAGGAGGAACGTGTTGGTTGTCCTTCTGAGGGGGGCTCGAGGGGGAGCCTCTCCAGCCACGAGGCAGATGCTGGTTTATGCAGTTTCCTCAAAGGCAGCAGCTCAGAGAGACTTAGGAGAACCTGTAGAGAAAAGACATCACATTTTCTTGGAGGGTGAGCGTGTACTACTCACCGCTGCCTACGTGGCTCTGTCTTCAGTCCAGGAATACTTTGTACTGATAATTTGTTTTTTGGTCTTCACCCTGAAGGATCTTACATCTCTTTAAACGACAGGGCTTCCTCAAGATCACTGCTTCCCATCCTCTCCTCTGCAGACTTCAGGGCAGGCTGAGCACACCGGTGCTGCCTTGTGGTCTGTGTGGGGCCATGCTCCCTAGTATCAAATCCATAATTGCTGCAGGAAAAAGATCAAATACTGAGATTGCTTTCTTGTTTCTTTTTTCTTCTTTTTTTTTTTTTTTTTTTTTTTTTTGTGAGAGAAAGCTGTCTAGCATCTTTTATTAAATGAGTCTTCAGTACAGCGGTGTTGAAGGCTGTCCAGCCAGCAGAAGCCCAGGGCGCAGGCTGTCCCTCTGCTCCACAGCTGCTCTTTTTGTCACACATTACACACAGCAGACGAAGGTCCCCTATCGGATGCTCTGTGCCGAAGCAAGGATATTAGGAAAATTCTTCACTGAAAGGGTTGTCAAGCATTGGAATGGGCTGCCCAGGGAAGCAGTCAAGTCCCCATCCCTGGAGGTATTTAAAAGCCAGGCAGACGAGGTGCTTAGGGACATGGTTTAGTGGTGTAATGGCTGTGTTGGGTTAATGGTTGGACTCGATGATCTTAAAGGTCTTTTCCAACCGAAATGATTCTGTGATTCTGTAAAGACACCCCTTGGGAAGGAGAGCTGGGCAAACCCTATAGCTCAGTTAAACCACCCTTCATTTTGTGGGCTGTGAAATGCGTCTCCGGAGGGCACGGCAGAGAGCTCGGCTCGTGGTCGTTTATCGATGCCGTGCAACAAGATCAAAGTGCCAGGCGTGCATGATCCCACGTTAAACCACCCGGTGCGAGGGTGGAGAGCGCTCCAGCACCTGCCTGCTTTGAGGATCAGGGCTAAACTCCCCACGTGTATCCCGGCTCCTCCTGGAGTTAAGGGAATCTTATGTCTCCTCTTACCATCCCGTGCACCTGCTTCCAACAGTAGCAGAACGTGGGCATCTGAGCACATGAATTCTTAAAAATAGCAGAAAGATTGTTTTCCCATTTTCAGATTTTCTACTATTTTATCATGTCCACAATGTTTTACTTGAACAATACCAAAATGTTTCATTTTACGTTTTCAAAGCGAATATCAGATCAAGCCTTTTTAATTTTAATATACTGATTTCTGTTTTCTTAAGTGGCTTGTTTTTTGTTTTCTTTAAAAAGAGGAAAGAAGGCTAACGTGGCAAGAGAAGAGAAAATCACATGGAGATTGAACAAAAATTTCAGGTTGAATCATAAAAATTAAAAAATGCCTTTTTTTCCTTTTTTCTCTTTTTTTATTTTAAAAATTTTTTTCTGTTTTAAATTTTATGAGGCCAAAATTTCCAGCCATTTTTTGGCTCAGTTCCTACACCAAACCAGCTCTGTTATTCATTCAGCCTTCAGACACATCAGCGATTAAATGGCTTTTCAGCAATGGTTTAGCTCCGTGCCTCTGCTAGACCTCAGTGAGGATGTGGCGTCTTCAAAACCCTTCTCAGAGCTAAGGAGAGAAATGCAAATGTACCATTTGGGGGTTTCCACCCCCCCCTATAATTCTTCCGCTCCTCCTGCCCCTGTCTGTGCTGCGAGTGCGGTGTTGAGGGGGCGGCAGCCGAGCTTCCCTGTGGTCCGAGTCCCCCCCTGATGGGACAGAGAAGCCCCCCGTGTGCGGGAAGCTCGTTACAGTGGGATCAATCATAGCAAAGATCTTAAGGTAGCTCCGTTCGGACTCGGCACAGCACGTCTGTCTTGTAGAAAACAGCTCCCGTCTAAACGAGCGCTAAAGGCTGGCGGGCAGAGGCTACGCTGAACTGGGTACCAGTTTATGGAATCCATTAAACTTGCGCTGAACTGGCGTTGGGCTTTTTAAATCCCAAACTTCTTTTTGCTTGTCGTGACCGCAGACGGGCAGCGGAGCTGCATACACGCTTTTCTTCTTTTGAAATATTAAACTAGTTCATCCCGTGGTCAGGATGCTGCTAGGTCTGCCGGAGTTATTCTTTTTTGTTGTTGTAGCTCAAAAATTACAACTGAAGGAGAAATTAATTTCCCTAAAGGGTTTTTTTTTTTTTTATGCAGTTCTTGCTAGAAAGGAATTCTTGTATTATGTCATGTCTTTCCCCATCACCTTTCTCACTCTACTTAAATTCTGTCTCCTTATAACAAGTACCTTTATTTTTCCAGAACTAAGAATATTTGAGAAATGCTACTAAAAACTTTTTTGCAATAAGAATGGCGCTGTCCCTGCACTGTTGGAGCAGTGATATCCCACTCCCCCAAGAAAAAGTGATTTAAATGCAATTTCCAAGCATACCTTTGTCCCCCAAAATGGAAAATTTACAAAAGTCTTCCTGAAGGCTCGGAGACTTCATCTGCACCATGCAGCTTTACAGAGAAAATTCTCTGACATTACTAAAACAAATGGTTCTATAAAAGTCGAAGATGGATCTCTAAAAAGAAATTTTAAAGTAATTTTAGGTTCTGCAGTGAGTCCTGGAATACTTGCGGAGGCTTTTACAGCTGTATTGCTCATCAGAAAGGCAGAATCTCAGCTTTCATTTCAGAAAAGCGTAGCTTTCTAGGCTCAGCCATTGTTGAGAAGAATTCAAGTCCAGAATATTCTGAGAATCAGAGGTGAGTGAGGAGAGCCCCGTGGACGAGGATTTACGGCGGTGACGCTCCCTCACAGGGCAGTGCGGTTTTGCTTGGCTCGGGGGGGCTGTGTAGCCATCCCACGGCCAAAGCGCAAATGCTAAAAGTACACGTTTGCTGTCTCTGAGGCTTTGCCCTCCTCTGACTACTGATTGCCAGCAATTTTAATCCTGCTACTGAGTTTTTAGGAGAGATGAACTGTTACCTGGCTGGGATTCACAGCAGCGTGTGAGGCAGAGGGTCAGTGTCGGTGAGCTGGGGGCACGTAAGCGTGTTTGGATCAAGCCCTGGAGTCCCGGGAGAAGTGGTTAATAACAGCTGCAGGGATCCAGCTCCTACAGAAAATAGATCTCCCATCCACTCCCTATCTCTCTGCAGATCCTATTTTTAATGGTTAAGCAGGTTTGCTACTGGTTTGCTATTCCTGCATCTGCGTGTTGCCCAGCGCATCGTTCCTGGACCTCAGCTGTACAAACAAATGAGTTAGTGCGAGGTAGGGTACGTTTTGGGTGGAGCAGCTCATGTAAGGGTGCGTAGGTGCCCTCCCCATCACCGGCCGCAGCGGGAAGCCCCAGCTGAGCGCAGCAATGCTCCGCACACTGGGAAGCACTGGGCTGCAGCCGCCCTCGCGGGAGCTGGCTGACATCACTCCCGGGAAAGGGGGAAGCAGATGGGATATTGCCATGGCACTGCCCACTGCCAAGTTAAATATAAAACATCTAGCAGAAGGCAGCGGGGTACTCGCTGCTCAGGAAGTCTGCCACGGGGGCACGGCAAAGTAAACACAATTTTCGGAGAGCTTCCCGCTCCTGCCTGCTGCTTTGGCGTGTTTGGGGATGAGGTGAAGGGCTGGCAGTGCGTGTGGTGGTGCTGGAAACCCTCCCTGTGCGCTTCGGTGGGAGCGCCATGGCTGAGCACGGGGTTAGAGGCGAGGATTCGATCTGCGGCAGATGCAGTTCCTCTTGGGTCTTTTGGCTGCTGGCGGAATTTGACTGTAGATTCTCCCCGCAGGCAAGCAGTGCATGTAAAATGGACCAGACTAAACAGGCGATGCCTGTGTAAACAGTTGCATATCGAAGTCTCCAGGTCTATATAAAACACAGCCTTGCATTGCTCAGGAAGGGCTATGCAGGACACAGCTCAACCAGCGCACTCGTTACCTGTAGCCCAGGAGGGTGCTGGTATTGCGGCACTTAACCTCTGCTCCAAGGAGGTGCTCCCTAAAAAACACCGAGAACTGGGAAGAACCTGGGCCGTCTCATTTCCATATAAATCACTGTTTTCCTTGCACTGGCAACAGGACTGCCTTGAGGTTCATGTGCAGAGCTGAGCTTCAAAAACAGGAACCTGATGGGATTCTCTCCGGATCTGATACCATGGGCGATGCCACAAGAGAAAATATATTCCAAAGTTGGGGAAAATAAAGAGGAAAGGCGGGGGGG